TGTTGCCCAGGCTGGTCTCGAACTCCCAACCTCAAGTGATCCTCCAGCCTTGGCCTCCCAAAGCCCTGGGATCACAGGCATGAGACACTGCCAGGCCAAAGATACTATTAATGCAAAAGCCTTGAGGTAGGGGCATGCACGGTGCATCTGAAGAACAGCAGGAAGCCTAGGTGGCTGTAGATGATGTGAGCCAGGGAGACAGCAGTAGGACACAAGTCAGAGCAGTAGCCTGAAAGCCTCAGAGAATTACTGGGAAAACAGAATGAGACAATGTCCATGCCATTCTTGAAACAGCGCCTGACATACAGTATATTCTCAATAAGGGTTTTCTTTCCTCTCAAACTACCCTTCTCAAATTTTAATTTAAATATTTTCAAACATATAGAAAAGTTGGAAGAATTATACCATGAACACGCAAATGGCCGCCACCTAGATTCCACAATTAACATTAATAAACTGGTGTTAGCTGGGCTCAGTGGCTCAGCCTGTAATCCCGCGTCTTGGGAGGCTGAGGTGAGTGGATTGGCTGAGCCCACGGGTTCGAGACCCACCTGAGTAACTTGGCGAGACCTCATCTCTATAGTAAATCAAAAAATTAAGCCGGGCTTGGTGGTTCAGCCTGTAATCCCGCGCCTTTGGGAGGCTGAGGTGAGTGGATTGCCTGAGCCCACGGGTTCAAGACCCGCCTGGGCAACTTGGCGAGACTTCATCTCTACAATAAATCAAAAAATTAGCTAGGGGTGGTAGCGCATGCCTGTAGTTTCAACTACTTGGAAGGCTGAGGCAGAAGGATCGCCGGAGACCAGCAGGTCAAGGCTGCAGTGGCCGGGAGCGGCCACTGCACTCCAATCTGGGCGACAGAGTGAGATTCCAACTCAAAAAAAAAAAAAAAAAGCTGGTGTTGTCACAGTTCTATTCATTATCCATCTAGCAATCCATCTTAGTTTTTTTGATACATTGTATTTATTTACATATGATTTATTTATTTTAGAGATGGGGGAGTCTCACTAATTTGCCCAGACTGGTCTTGAACTCCTGAGTTCAAGCAATCCTCCTACCTTAACCTCTTGAGTAGCTGAGCCTGGCTTGAACACATTTAAAAGTAAGTTGCAGACATCAGTACATTTGACCTCTAAACATTTCTGTGTGTGTGTGTGTGTGTGTGTGTGTGTGTGTGTGTGTGTGTATTTGACTAGAGTTCAATATTTATCTAGGCAAAGGTTCTTTTTTCTCTTCCAAGTATAATATATATAGAAATGTACATGTCTTAAGATGGGTTTTGAAAATGTATATACCCATATAACCTAAACCCCCAACAAAGTAAAAAAAATTACCATTACCCCTAAAAGTCTATTCAGGCCCCACTCTCACCTCAGTTAATGCCTATTCTGATTTTTTCCACCATGCTTACTTTTGCCTGTTCTAAAAAGTCAGTGGAGAGTAAATAGATATTCTCAACCACTGTGAAAGTGATTAAAAATTGGTATAGTCTTTTTAGAAGGTAGTATGTGATTCTTTTTTTTTTGAGTTGGAGTCTCACTCTGTCACCCAGATTGGAGTGCAGTGGTCACTCCCGGCCACCGCAGCCTTGACCTGCTGGGCTCTGGCGAGCCTTCCGCCTCAGCCTTCCAAGTAGCCGGAATTACAGGCATGCACTACCACGCCCGGCTGATTTTTTGGTTTATTGTAGAGATGAGGTCTCGCTGCCCAGGTGGGTCTCGAACCCGTGGGCTCAGGCAATCCACTCACCTCGGCCTCCCAAAGGCGTGGGATTACAGGCTGAGCCACCAAGCCCAGCTGTGATTCTTAAAATAAAATCCATGCACTCCTTTTGACCTAGTAATGTCAATGAGAGGACTTTTCTGAGAAGTATGCTAGCTCACGTATGCAAAGGGGACGGTCACAAGGCTGCTCACTGAACCATTATAACAGCTAAGGACTGAAAATAGCCTAAATGGTCACCAGTCAGGGAAAAGTGAAATAAATGGGTAGTCACACTCTCAGCAATTACAAGTACTTATTGACATGGTAAGATCACCAAGACAGTCATTAAGTACACAAAAGTAAGCTATAACACACCACACACCCAGCATAAAACCATCACACAAAACACTAGTAGTCTCTTCTATGCCATACACCGACAGGGTCATGTCCCCTGGCAAAGGAGTTTTCCCCAAACTGTCAACACATCTCTCCAAGCTCCTCATTAACATAGCATTTCTTCTTCTTGGCTATTCCTATTAACGGTTTTACATTCAAGTGCCTATCATGTTCACAGATGGTTAAATATGCAAAATGCTTTCTAAATGAGAAATGGAATATGCCAATCTCATTTGTAAGAAGACACCTTATGTGCTTTGGTCTGTTTTGGCTATTATAACAGAATACCACAGACTGCATGGCTTATCAACAATGGTAGTTTTTCTTTCATGGTTCTGGAGGCTGGGAAGCCCAAGATCAAGGTGCTAGCAAATCCCATGTCTGGGGAGGGTCCACTTCCTGATTCATCCACATGCCAGTTCCTACAAATGCATCCTAAATATCCCATGACCTCAACTCAGTCTGATCTGGTAGTAATGGTAGACATATAAAAATAATACAGAGCCACACCAACTGTAGGGAAAGACCATTAAACCTCCACACTCCCAGTGTATTTGAGACCCCACCCCTAAATTCCCGAATCTGCATTCTAATAAGATCCCAGGTGATTAAGATGCCAATGGCAATTGGAGAAGTATGAACTGTGGGGTGATAGAAGAAGGAACCATTATCAATCCCTCAGGAAGTGGTTAGGGAGCTTCAGCACATTCCAGGCTGAGATGCGAGCAGGCCCATCATCAGGAGCAGGCCCATCATCAGGAAAGTGAGACCAAGTCTTCTGGAATGACAAGTTTAGTCTGGGAGGCACAGTGGGATGATGTGGGAGCTAGGGCAGAAAAAGGAGGCTGAGGCCAGAGGCAGAGAACCGGGCTGACCTGTTGGGGATTCTGGAGGAAGCCAGAGAAAATTTCAAGGAGGAAAACGAGATTAGAATTGTATGTTGGAACAAAACTCTGGTGGTAAAGTGGAGGGTGCAGTGCAGGAGTGAGAGGTGGGAGCAGGCAGCCATGTGTCCTTAAATGAGTACATTCACTTTTGGGTACATTCACTTTTGATCGAGAAAGGAAGTCTGAATACTTAGGAGTGGAGGGGGCTGCTGAGTCCTAGGTAGACAGAAAAGCAGAGGGTTCCAGCTGCAGTGGGTTCCGGTGGATTCTTTCTCATCAGCCCAGCAGTGTAGTCTTCAACCAGCATCATTAGTGTCACACTGGAATTGTCAGGAACGTAAATCCTCAGGTGTCACCTTAGTAGTACTCAGGAACCCCTGGGGATGGGGTACACATATCTGACTTTGAACAACGCCTCCGGTGATTCTGATGCATGCTAACATCCAGAATTCTAGCCGCCAAAAAACCTTTAGCAGGTGGTGGAAGCTTAACATTGCCACAACTTGCCTACTGTCTTTAAAAATAAGGACGACGGCAATGAGAAATGGGTTTCTATTCTGAGTGGGCAGAACAAAAGCCACATACAACCTAGATTTCATATAGTGCCCAGAAAGAGAAAATATACTGACCATTCTGTCCAAAAACCTCTTATTTGGAGAATTAAAATAGTTTTGGGAAAGGCCATGATGTTCTCGGTAGCCTAAATTAAGTAAAACTTAAAGTTACCGTCCCAGATGTAAATTCTTCCTGTGCTCTTTATTCCCCACAAAAACACCCGCAGGAAAATCGCTGGGGTTCCTTCTGGCCCTCTACAAAATGTGTTTCTGATGCAACCGCCCATTAGAGAAACGCAATCCCAAATTAAAAGCCCCAAAACACGGAGCAGCGGGACTGGCGCCACTGTCCCGGGACCACGCGGCCGTTTCCCAGCCCCACCCCTGCGGGCCGCCGGGCCGCCTTCCCCGGCAGTTCCCGAAGATAAATACATCGCTCCTTGTTTTTCCAGACCTGAAATTAGCGGTGACTCAGAGTACTTTGGGCGGCCACCGTCCCCTCGGAAAGGAGGAAAAATGTGCCGATTTTTCCCCTCACGCGAGGGCCCGACGTGCCAGGCTGGGCCAATCAGGGAAGGGTGGCGGGAATCGCACCAAAGTAGGTCAAAAAATGCGGATGCGGCTCCTCGGCCTCGGTCAGCGCCCCGCGCCCGCCGCTCCTCCCTCCCAAGTCCGTCCTCTGCGGGCTCCGCCCCTCCCTCCCCTCCACCCCTCCCTCTCCTTCCTCCCCTCCCTCCCTTTCCTGCCTTTCTCGTCTCCCTCCTTCTCCCCTTTTCCCTCCTTCCCCTAAACCCCCTTCCCTCCTCCCCTCTCCTCCCCTTCCTCCTTTCCCTTCCCTCCCCCTT